CTCCTAAAACGAAATCTAATTTTTGTTTTAAAAAGTACGTTCAGTTGAAAAGATCTTTTAGAACAATGCTCAAAGACAAAAATTCTGGGCAAAACGCAGCGACACACCGTTCACAACTCCAATATATTAGTGATATTGTGCTTTTTGTGGAATCGGAAGAGGGTTTTTTTATTATCATCTTCGGCCCAACCAAATGGTTATACTTTATACTACGCACAATTCGATCGATTAAAGACAATTGGCCAAAAACAACATTGGATAATCACAAATTCCATCGGGATAACGCTCGCCCTCACGTGTCTTTACAGACTCGCCCGTTCAGATTTTCAATTATTCCGGATTCTGCAAGACTTTGTTAATGGGAAAACTTTTCTTCAGTTGAGGACAGCAGAAAACTCAAAAGCCGAATAGATTCTGGGAGGATTCACAAAATTACATGTAAAATGGCAACAGGCAATGGAACAAAATTGTGCTATATATTTTTGACGAAATTTTGTTCACAATTACTTCAACATTACCATTTAAAAAAAAACGCTACGGACTTAATTTTACGACTCGATAACTTAAACTTGAGGAAAAAGGATCGTGATGGGACTCGCCCTGACTCATGGAAATTTCACCCACCCATGGAAATTTTCTCCCCGTTTTGGAGATGTGTCTGTTTGTCGTAAATAACTTTTCATTACGCTTCGCCTGGCTTTGGATGAACAAAAAATCCAGAAGATTTTCGACCATCTTGGTCCCGAGCGACAGAGAAGATCGTAAATGATGTCCTACGTCTTTCCAGCGCGTAAGTAGTTCAATTCTTTTTTTTTAACCGAATCGCTTTACATTCTTTTCCGGTTTCTCTTGAAAACTTGATAAAAAGAACATGAAAAACAATCAATTGTGTTTTTGTTTTCCTTTGTTTAACGAATTACTACGAGAAAAGTGTTAGGAAATTTATTAGCTTGTTTCTATCGGAATATTGTATAGGTCTTCAGTGGGTGAAATGTGCTTGTAATTGTATCACCTATCCGCCTAAACTGACTAATAAACCGTACCTCCAGTATCGACCCCGAACTCATTCAGACACATACACCCGTGTATGCGTGTGTATGACACACGCGTATGCACGCAGCACACGACTTGGTTAGTCTATACACACAAAATATTGCACTATATCAAATAACATAAACCCATTGTGAAAATCAAAAACTATTTGTATTGCATGTTAATAGTGGTTATTAGAAATAAGTCAATTAATGTGTAATAGCGAGGGGGATAGTGAGAGCAGGGATATGTTTCAGGAGTGACCGTATTGCTGTCGCTGACAGTGTTCCATAATCTAGTGGCGGAGACCTTACCCCAAGTCTCAGACGCAATGCCTGTTTTAGGTTCGCCCAATAAACCAAAACATCAGTGGCAATAATAAAGAATCACTATTATTCACCAATAAAGCACAGCCAGACAAATATGCAAACTTTTCATCCTAGTTTTATTTACTTTAATTTGTCAATGCAACAAACCAAAAAGTTCATTTTTTATTACAATAAAAATTACTCAAAAAACAAATTTTGAATTATTCTACTTAAAAGAAACTAATGTTTTAATAAAAACGAATGAGCTTTGACTTGTAATGTTTTTTTTCTTTCTTTCAACTTTTTTGTTTCAATTGTTATGTATGTGAATTTTGATCATACAAAGATTCAATGTAAGCACTGTTTTTAAGATATTTACACAAATTGCATTTGGAAATGGAAACACCACAGAGAATTTTGAATAAAAACGGAATATATAAAAATGCTATAATTTTTAATTTTAATTTTAGCGATGAAATAATATGCTTTAATATTGCACAATATTTTCTGCAGTAATACTAATTGAGGCAGGTGAGTGTGATGGAAATTGGCACGGACGCACTTGGACGGCATGCGCCATCGTCTCCAAGTTATCCATTCAGACTTGTTCAGCCTCGCCACACAGTCACAAAAAAACAAGAAAGGCAAACGGGTCCCGGGCTCCCTTTAAACTGCTGCTTGTCTGATTGGATTAAAAAGAGAGAAAGAATTGCACACAAAAAAAAAATTAAATTTAAAAATTATAAAACAAAAAGCAACAAATGAATGGGATAAGGCAAGACAATAGTCAAATTTGGCGTCCTGTTTCAGGTGTCACAATCCTCCTCTCCCTCTCTGTATTTTCACTCATGATAGCCGATGCGTTACCACAGACTTCGGAAGCTATCCCCTTACTAGGTCAGCACACATTGCACATAACCTCTTTCCAACATAGCAATCTTTCTTTCATCAAACTCCATCCACATGATTATTTCATTCACATTATTTGAATATGACAATTTGTTTTTTATTTATGGTCTAAAAGATTTCAATAAAAAGCTTATGAATGTTCGTAATATTTGATATGGAAGTAAATGTGTTGGCTGATGGTAGTATATGCGCACCTTCCCAAATTTCAAAAAAAAAAAAAAAACGGTTTCTCATTTTATTTTATTTCAGTCAAACTGTAATAAACTTAATATATAAACCAACAAGAATAAAAAATTTAAATAAAAAAAGAAATTAAACGGGTGATGTGATGACATCAAAATAAATAAAGCGGCATTCTCACTGTATATACATATACATCAATTTTTTTTTAAATCTTAAATAAGATAGGATATAAAAAACAACCTTAAACAATAAACCGATGAGAAAACAAAAAGGAAAATGAACAAAACGTAGACAGAGAGAAAAAAGTGTGAAATAATCATGTTTTGTAGTAGAATGCTTAGCGGATCACTCTTTCCATGCGTGTCTCTCCTATTTCTTCTATAATACTGAAAGCATTAAAGCAATCGTAAACCAATCAACATAAATGGTTATACTGCTTAACTTCACTATTCTACTCTATATTAAACGATCAATAATTATAAATAACTTTGTAAATATTGAGATAAATTCTTATTCTAGTGTACATATATATTATGTGAGTGCATGGTACGTTGTGTAGTAGGCTTGATCTGGGGAAAAGATATTCCTCTAACTAACACTGTGACTAATTCTTACAGATGTAAGCAGAGGATACAGCGGGAAATGTGTAAATGTAGCCCTGCCACTCTGTAACCACTTGGTTACTGACTGGCCTGGCCTAACTAAACCCACCCTTCCCACAAGATAAATATTTCTAACTTTAACACAGCGCTAACCTCTCTGCCTCCACGTAACTCGCCAACTGTTTAAATAAAATGCATTTAAAATTTAAAAAGCATGTTATAATGAATTTTACTTATAAATGTTGTTCCAATAACAATTGAAAATCCATAAATTGGCATCACTGTTTAAAAATATATTATTCTATATGTTTAACATTTGAATTGAATGCAATTTTGTGTTAAGTAATTATATTATTAAAATAAGAAACAAAAACAAATCTAAACAAGACACACTTAAAATTCCCGTCATGTTCCTCAAAATCACAATAAATTTTAATTTAAATTTATTTTAAAAAACAAACAGTTTATTTAGGTTGCCATTTTCCAGGGATGAGGGATATCTACTTATTTTATGGACATTTTGTTTCTTATATACTTTTCTTTCTTTTTTTTCTTTCTTTAATGTAGAAAAAAATTTATATTTGCCGATTATTTGCCGTTCTGCTGTGAAATGCATTTTCTGCGGTGAAATTTCGGTGATAATAGTATCATAGAATACATCATCAATTTATTAATTTTTATATGCTTATAGGTGATGAATCATTGGAATGGATACGATTTTGGAAACTATAGTTTTTTGTTACTTTTTTAAATTGTTGTTTTTTTTAAATACTACTAGGACTATGCATGTGATTAGCACAACTGCACCTCTTTTTCCCCCACTTGCTAGGAAGAAAACCGCATAAATATAACAAATGGGCCTTCTTGATTATTCCCCTCTATTTATAGTGTTAGTTTAATAAATATTTTTAGCATCTTATTGTATGTGTTTATATATATCATATATATTCACCATTGCATATAAAATAATTTATTAAACTAAAATAAACTAACATGATATTTAAATAATAAACTGGCTAAATAGAAGAATCTAAACGACCAATGTTCCTAAAAACAAAACAAAAAAAATCCTCACCGCTAATAGTGTTAAATATATTTTAAGTTATTTTCTGTTTGTCAATTTTATTTTTTTTTCACATTTTTCACTTTTTTTAGTTAATAACTACCATAAATATCTTAATCAAAATATGACTATCTTTTGTTAAAAGATATCACCCATCCCAAATATGGTATTTATTTAAATTGTTTTCTATTGAAATAGCTAAATAAAAGTTTGTAAATACAAAATTGTATTCATAACAAATATAAGCTTTTTGCATGACTCTTAAGCATGACCGAAAAAAAAACAGCTAATTCCACTGTTTAAATTGTATGAAGCCTATGCATGAAAAAAAAAATTGTTGCTATAATTATTTATTATTATTGTTATTACAAAATATCAAGTTTGACAAGCCAAATTATAGTTAATAAACATCAACATTATCTATTTTTCATCTCATCATTCTTTTTAAATAATTCACTATTACTAGATAATTGTAATAGTTTGATGTTGAGTGAATTTTTCCAGCTAAATTAAGTAAAAATACACTGCGCTTTTTTTATTACTTTTTTTGCAGCAGCTCACTCAACTTGTAATACACATTTTTTTTATATCAAAGCTTCTAATTACAACTGTAATATTCTTATTTTCTTATGTTTAAATATAAGCAAAAAGTATATACATGTTTATTATGTTCATTTCCATAATTGTATTTAAATTGTTAATTTCGCACAGATTGTAATAGTTATTTTCCATAAACCTTTGTACTTTGGAGTTAATAAATTTTTTGGTTATTGTTAACATTAATAATAATGGTTCATTTTTTTTTTTTTTAATTTGTTGATACAATATTTAGCATGGCATGTACAAAAACACTTCGTTATCTATATATTCCAATTATTAAAAAAACAAAAATCACAATTACAGGAACATACTTCAACTGTATCATGTTCATGGTGGCTTCATCCGTTGTTTCTACAATAATAATCCTCAACTATCACCATCGCAATGCCGACACACATGAAATGTCGCCTTGCGTAAGTAGACCCCAACTTTTTTTTATATACAACATATTTATTTATTATCTCGATTAAACTTTACAATCTTACAAATTATGGCTTCAACCTTAACAGATTCGTGAGTTTAGATTTATTTTATTAGAAATAAATTCAGACTTGATGAAACGGATATTTTCTTCTAAAGCTTGGCAAAGGAACTGACTTTTCTTTTGAATTTTGCCTTGTCCATGACGTACAATTATGATTTGTTTGATTGGAAATGGGTAAAAATTAAGTCTGAGGTCATTCTCGGTCATTTAAATTGTTACCTACAACAAGCTCTTAAATACTCTTAAGTTCGGAACTAGAATTATTAACATAAACAAACATAATTTGGAGAAAAAAGTCATGTATACTGGTCCTGATCCTCTTGTCCAATTTTCCAAAGAAACCCAGTGGACAGTAATTACATTGTTTTTTGTTTTTTTATTTATTATTATTATGTTTTTGTTTTTTTTTCAAATTATTTGTTTGGGTACAGAAGTACTGTCAACTTCTGTGTCATGAATGCCTGGAAACTGGAGCCAGGGCTGGAACATCTTCACTATTTCACTCATTGCCACATATTTTCAGTAGCCATATGTAATGATTTTGGCTTCTTTTTTTTGCTGATTTTTTTTGCCACACTAGCAGTTCTGAGTTTGAATCCCAGCAAAATCTGGACTTTTTAGGTTAACTTGAGAAATGGTATGGTATGGTATGGTGGAAAAGGATACTAGGAAGCGGGGTTTGTATTCCCCAGGCACTTCAGCCTTCTGGCTTATTGTACCTTCCTAGTTCCTTAGTTCAGTCAATAGACTCAATCCTTCTTCTTAGAAGTATCAGGTCATTGACTGTTATTGCTGCAATTTCATTCCCTAAGTCTTTTCCGTACGTTAGGTTAAATCTCCATTGAGCTGTTGCTTCGCATTCCTCCTCCTCATTACATAATCTGCAGATGGGATCATCGCTGTATATGTCTATGTTGTGTAGATGTTTTCTCAGATACCAGCGACTGGTTGGTAGTCCTACCACTCCTCTGAGTTTGGCCCTCTCCAATTGCAGCAGAGTTTTTGCCAGTCTCGGTGAGGGTTGTTTCATCATAAGTTTACTAAGTCTAGCACCGCTAGAGTTTATCCTCTTCTCTTTTTGTTTTGCTTGGATCCATTCTGCGATGGAGGATTCTATGTTTGTTTTTGTTATCCCAGGGATAGGTTCGGGGCCTATGTATGGTCTTGCAGATCCTCCTCTGGCCAGTTTGTCTGCTTCCTCGTTACCCAAAATTCCCCTATGCCCTGGCACCCAAGATATCATCAGGTTGATGTGTTTTCCCAGGTTTTGGAGATTTTGGATGCATTCACTGACTAAGTTGGGAAAAAAGTAAATTTAAAGTGGTTCTGACCCCCTTTTAGAAATTACATTATATTATCCTTCACTGCCAGTATTCCTATCCAGCATATGCCTTCTTAGGCAGGTCCAATCAGGAGACTTGCCAGAATCCAAGTTTTATTTCCACTTCCTTTATGGGGATCTCTTCACTTGTCGATCCACCAGGATTTTTTTTAGTCTCATTAAGGATTTTTAATGTGATCATTTTTTGTGGCTAATTACTAGGTCACAGTAGGGTTTGGGTCTGGAAGTACTGGCAACTCCTGAGTGCCTAGATACCCAAGTGGCACAAACATCCCCTGGGTAGATGTAAAACCTTGCTGAAGTTAGCTCTGCCGGTCCTTCTTCAGTATCTCTGTGCAGCATAGACCTAAGATAGTTTAGAAAAGTAGACAGGTTTCATGTCCAGTGCTCATCTTTGTGTCCCGTTATGGTGTTCTTGAGGGGGCAGAAGTGCTTGATAGCTCTGTATACCATGATGAGTTCCCGGTCCTAGGTCGATTAATTCTTTTCAGTTGAGTCGATCAGTGAGCATGAGAAGAATCTGAGAGGAACCCAATGGTCTTCAGCTTTCCATCGGAGTACAGCACTTATTCCTGAGCCAGATGTTCACTGTCCAATGTAATGATCGCGTTCTTGTAGAAGACTTAACTGCAGCCTTCTAGAAACCTCTGAAATGTGGCAATCGAGGAGGAACGAAGGACCATGTGACGCCTGAAGAAGTGCAGAAGTTACCCAATTCCGTGATGTTGTCATCTGATCTAAACAATTGAAGTTCTACCAGCTCGGTTTTACTGCCCACAAATGTTGTATTGTTGGAGAAAATATGGCTTATTCTTCTAGGGCTATAACTCTTTGCAAGATGTTTCAGAATTTTTTTGGTTGTTTGTTCAGGTACCAACTCTATACGAATAGCCTTAGGAAAGGAATTTGCTTTGTCTGATGCTAATTTATGTAATGTTCTTATTACAACATAAGATGCCAAAACAGACCTAAAATTTCTTACAACCTGATTACATCAAATTGAAATTCTTCAATTTCACACAAAAACAATTTATATACAATTTAATAATTTAAATTTTCAGGTCAAATCGTTGTTCCTTCATTGGCTTCCATGCCTGCTGCGGATGAGCCGACCAGGCCATAATGAAAATGGAGACGCTCCAAGAAAGTCGTTGCAGATGCACACGTTAGAATTAAAAGAAAGGTCTTCAAAGAGTCTTCTAGCGAATGTTTTAGACATAGATGATGACTTCAGACATGGGCCTTTGCAAACATCTAGTCATACATACATTCGGGCTCATGAGGAAGGTAAATGAGATTTTTTTAAATGATATATTATTTTCTTTACTGCCTCATCACCAAATCACTTTTACTATGTATTCATTCTAAAATTATGCATGTTTGGCGTATATTTTTGTAAATAAGTAAGCCTAAAATTTTAAATTAAAAAATCACTATGCCCTTTTGTATAATCCAAATTTCTAAAAAAATTTTAGACTTTAAACTTTACTCCTTCCCCTTGCAATCAGGATTCTTGTTTAACATGTAACTTTATCTAGCACATTTTACAATGGAATTTTCGCGACAAGGTAAAATTATAACTATTTACACTCAGTTTGTAGATATTTAAAAATACTAATTTGTACCTGAGCTATGCAGCAAAATTACTTTAGATTTTTTTAAACAAGAAACAGTCAAATTCATTTTCTGTGCTCCAAAAAACCTCTGAATACAAATTTTTGGGAAAATAAAAAATATTTAAATCTTTTGCTTCAGATTTTTTTCTTCAAAATCAACCATTTACAAAAACAAAAATTGTGATAGCTATGAAATAACTATACTAAACTGCAGGAAACTTCCAGGGGTTTAGAATCTTATAAACTAGCACATAATAGTACAAACTTAGTCTCTGAAAATAAATTACAATTTTTATTTAGAAAAATCGTGAGCTGCGGTCTGGTGTGATGTAGGTTTCAGAAAAACATTTTCTTTATCGTGCCAACGTTTCGATCTTTATTGAGATCATCTTCAGGGCCTGGGATTTANAAAGAAAATGTTTTTCTGAAACCTACATCACACCAGACCGCATCTCACGATTTCTAAATAAATATCGATTAACGGTCACTAATCACCACACATAAATTACAATGGGAAATAAAAGTAAAACGTTTGTGATAGATTTTGTTGTTTTCGTCCTTATCATGACTTCTAATAACATAAAATCTAAATCTTGTTGAAATAGGCTTTAAGGAGAAATATTCAGTTTTCTAACTATTGTAAAAACAGTCACTATTTTTCGTCCGCTTGACCAATTAATATCATTCAATTAATTAAGGTTTTTAGTTGAGATAAAAAATTCAATGTCACGAGTGGGATTCGAACCCACGACCTTCAGCTTGATACGCCGCTACTCTACTACTTAATCTATCGTCACTTCACTGTTCTATTGTAAAAACACTGAATTTGGATAAAATTCAGGGGAGTTATGAACTTTTAAGCATGAAACACCAGACAACAGAAAAAAATTGCCCCCTATCCAACTATGAGAACTAAACCAGCTCAAAAACGTTTATTTTTTATCCTTAAAAAAAATTATATTTAAAGGCATTTTATCATACTTAAAACAAAACAGTATTGTTTAAAAAAAATTATGGCAACTTTAGTGGAGCGTCTTTTGAATTTTGCAATTTTTTATTAATTTAACCTCATATAATTTGACATAACTTACTATTCTCCTTGCCCTACATAAAAATATATAATGACTGATGTATAAAAACCTTGAAATACATTCACAACAAAGACACAAACTTATAAAAAATAATTATTTAAATTACTTTTTTTAAAAAAATTATGGATCTTACGTCTAAAGAATGCTTGGACACGTGTCTAATGTTTTTCAACATAAATTATTTTTTACAGTACTTAACTCAATTTTCACAAGTTTTTAATTAACTAATTATTCAGAAATCGTGAGTTGCGGTCTGGTGTGATGTAGGTTTCAGAAAAACATTTTCTTTATCGTGCCAACGTTTCGATCATTATTGAGATCATCTTCAGGGCCTGGGATTTACAAACATTGTTTACATTTAGCAAATACATTTTGGATGTGGAAAAGTGAATTTATACAATGCAAAANTGAAGATGATCTCAATAAAGATCGAAACGTTGGCACGATAAAGAAAATGTTTTTCTGAAACCTACATTACACCAGACCGCATCTCACGATTTCTAAATAAATAAAAAATAATTATTTAAATTACTTTTTTAAAAAAATTATGGATCTTACGTCTAAAGAATGCTTGGACACCTGTCTAATGTTTTTCAACAAAAATTATTTTTTACAATACTTAACTCAATTTTTTAATTAACCCCAAATCGTAGATTTATTGTCTTATAAATGTACTAATCCTTCTTTTTTCTTTGATATTCAATGTCCCACTTGTCTGAACTAATCCAGTGACATGTGTTTTAGAAAGCTCCGGTATGCCTGGAAGTGTGATCCATTCGCAAGGAATGGTACCTTGTTTAGGACCACACAGAGAGCTGGGTCAGATCCTTAAAGAATTAAGGATGATAACAGACAAACTGCGGAAAGAAGATGAAGCGGCAGAAATCACAAATGATTGGAAGTTCGCTGCAATGGTTGTTGATAGATTGTGCCTAATCATATTCACTTTATTTACTGTCATAGCTACTATCGCAGTATTATTTTCAGCTCCCCATATCATTGTTACGTAACTTAAAAATTATCTGTCCCTCGGACATCTTGGAAGCTATCTTGGTAGGGGCTCGGTTGAGATACTCGTCCCTGATTTGCTTAAGTCTTCCAATGCAGTCCATTTCGGCAGTCGAACCCCCATTCCTATCACAACTTATTTTATATTACCAAACATAAAAGAAAACTGCTCATTCTTTCTTAGAATGTTGTCAATTTAGTTGTAATTATTGTTCATATTTTATACTAAACATACTGTCGTAATTGACACCCGATTGAATACCTTTCTGTATATAGATCAAATAATGTATATTATCTAAATTTATAGCAACATTAACTGCCAGTATTTAATCATAATTCAATAAGCCAAGATAGTTTCACTTCCATGACGTTGGGACACTAAGTTGACTAATATAGGTTTACCTATATATAGTTAGTTATAAATATTGTTGACTTATTGTATATAACGGGTAATTAAATATAAAATTTTAAAAATTTTATATATAAATATATGTATATATGTATTTATATACATACATACATATATTTATGTATATGTGAATGTATATGTGTATATAAAAACATACATACATACAAACACAAATTATGTAATGGTTCATTTCTTCCAAGTATTGTGAAACATTCGTCGAAAATTTCATAAGTATTTATATTAATACGTATGAGTAGTCAAGTAGCCTAAGTAGATAACGTTCATCACCGATATTCCTCCCTCTCACTGATAATAAATTTACGATACATTAATGTGTCGAAGAGTTTGTATTTGTTTTTTTTTAAACAAGAAGGTATGTTTTTTATGAAAACGTGTTGGTTGAATACTATCAATATTCATATCAATAATGAACGTATAATGCCTAGCAAGTAAAATGTTGAAGAATTTTCTCCTGTACGCTATTGTTGTAAATGTTGTTGCGTTGAAGTTTTATATAAATTTACTAACGGTGTTAAGTGTAAAATGCTGTTTTAAACGGTCAATATTTATAAGTTAAATGAGTTGAAAATTTCTACGTATATGTTATTCATCGAAGATGTGGTCACGAATGATTTTTGGGCAGGAGAAATTCTTAGACATCTATTAGGGTAGTTATTTAGGTGATGATTTCTTAAGGTTAAATCCATTCGTTATGCTGCAATTAAAATCAAGTATTCATACTGGTTGCTACACTTTTAAAAATGTAGTTTTAATATGAAAATTATACCAACAATGATTATGACTTTTAATGGATAATACTAAAGCTAGTGACTGTTCGTTTGAACATGACAACACGACATAACACGGTGTTATAACGTACTTACGAAAGTATTACTTTTTTCATAAACATTTCCATTTAGATTTATCGTGGGTTTAAAGCTCATATTGTTTATCGATTCATCTCTCAAATTTTACTATATTAAAATTTTAAAATATACTTCAAGATGTGACTATGACGTTCTGTAAGCATTTCAAATTCAAAGCCACTAAAAAAAGAAAAAATATATAATCATTAATTCACATATAAAGATATTCTATAATATAAAGAAATATATGTGATTGTACAAACAATATTTATTATAACTAGTGTTGTAATGTTCAAATGATTGTCTCTTTTTTATATGATAAAAATATTTTAAAAACTCTTTGCAAAATTATTGCTCGTGCCTACAAATTGTTAAATCGCTCATCGAAGCGCTGTTAAAAGGTGGCAATAAGTCACAGTTGGTAGTTTCTGTAAGCGAGTATTTAATTAGTCCAACTAGTTCACAGCCAGTTCCTCCAATGATTTGGGTCTTTATTGCTAAGGTTGTTAAGCTCTACGTACGAATAAATAATTTTTTAAATAAATAATATTACTCTAAATCAGAGTATAAACAATAATAGTTTATTACCTAAATAATTATCTGATAAATATTATTGCTATTAAGTATTATATGGTTACTTACATGCCAGTAAAAAAGAGAATTATATTATTAAAAAAAAAATAAAGAGACAATACATAAATACTAGAGAAGTTTTAAAGAGAATAGTCATAGTAATTAATTATAACCTAGAATAAGGATAAGACAGTTATTATTGGAATAACTGGCTGATTCTAACTCTATCGAACAGTCCTCTTGGACATGCGGTTAAGATTTTAAAAAATATATATTTGTATATTATATGTATGATTAATTATAAAGATACGTATAATATACATTTATGAACATGGTTAAACTTTATTCTTATAAGGTGGGTAAAAAAAAAAAATACATAGAATGTATCTGTAATATTATTTCATTATCAGCCCAAGCTGGTACAGTGGGAACCTCACCATTTGTAAGCACTGTATTGCCTACAAAATCGTGATAGCTATTTATACAATTGATTTTAATTTTTTTTGACATTTTCATTTTCTGAGTGTTTGCGTATTCTAATAAAAAGCTGCATTAGAAGATTCCCAAATTTTTAAACTTATAATAATATCCAAGCATGTTTTCCACCGGTTTTCAAAATTATAAAAGCTGAAGTGATATTGTTAATGTAAGCTACCCAGTCGAGAAATTTATACGCAATACATTGAGTTTTAAAATAAAACTTATTCGTACAATTTTCAAAGAGCAACAATTTTGTTATTGTTGAGATGTCTCACATATCATATAAAATAGAGAAGCGTTTTCAAAAATAATTTGCTCAAACTAGGAGTGGTCTTAATTGTTAAGTTTCATTTCAAAAATAAATTATTCACGCTAGATTGCAGTATTTGTAATGTAAATAACATCTAAACGGTATAAAGCTCGAAAGATTATATAAAATTTCACACAAAAAGTACTCAGATTTGAATAATGAAATTAGCCTCAAATATTGGAATAATCGACGTGTTATTTGAATTACGCACTATGATGTAAAAACGTTTTATAACCTAATTATGAAATTTTCCTCAAGGAAACTAGCCTAATATAACATATATTACTGGAATGAAATATATTTTTCATTCGTTTTGTAATCATTTCTATTAGTTGAATGAGATCTAGTTTGAAAGTATAGATTGATTGGTCTAGTTTCATTAATATCGATAGGCTAACTGAACAGCTGCTTCCTTACTCTCTAGCAATAAATGACTCGGTGCAACTTAATTGTTAGGAAGATGTTTTTGTATAAATGTTTTCTTTACCATCTATTTCATTTTTTACAATCAATACCTTTGCAGGAAACAATAACTCTTAACTATAATTTTTCCTTTTTTTACAAAATTTACATAATTGTAATGAAAAATATTTGGAAAAAAATTCAATTTCAAAAGGATGAGTTTTCTGTAGCAGTGAAGCAATATAATACAATATACTGCTTGAATATATTTACTATTTTTTTAGTAAGAGGATTGCTTTTTGATAAAAATTAACTTGACTTTGCATAGGCAATGCAGTGTTCATGAAACACCATATCCCATAGTGGTGCTGTTAATTTTTAGCGAACAAAGTATTATGCTTATATGTTGAAGCTTTGTAGTTGATAATGTACTCACTGTAAATAGCTCTAAAATAGACGGCCCCATTGTCGTTACACTGATTTCAGAGTCCGTAGTACCTTATAAATTCAGTTGAACTCTTTTCATCATTTTAGACTGTGTAATTTTTTTTCTGCTGTGAATATGTATACTTTTAAACATGACATTCTGTAAGGTGTGAGTTTATAAAACTTGTAAAATTGTGGGTAAAAAAATTTGTTGGATTAATTTTAGAAGTCATCATGAATCCAAAAACAATAATCACTTTTATATTTTTTATGTAAACAATAAATTATAGTTAGGAAAAGTATACATATTAATCAACGTGTTGATTTTAAACAATTTATTAGTTTTTAACCATCAATTATTATTATATATATGAACCATTAACCCAATTAGTAAATAAATAAAAATATAAATTTATTATTTTAGAATTAAGTAAAAATAGCTATTTTTTAGAGTAAGAAGAACATTCAATGCAAAATAAATTTTATCTACTGGTACTTGGATCCTGAATCAGTGTAGGTTTGATAGAATGTATAACGGAAGGGTAAAAACACTTCAAAATAAAAATTATTAAAAAAATAAAAATAGATAAAAGCTGAAATTTGACAATCTAATAATCAAGTGTTTCCATTAATCCCAAACATTTATTGCTGTGTACATACTTTATGATACAATATTAAATCAATTTGAATCATGCTACAAAACCTGTACTCTTTTATTGGATATGTTACTTGCTTTTTATAAAAAAAAAATCTATTTGGTTTTTCTTCTTAAATTTTTGTAATAATGTTTTTGCATGCTTCAATTTTACTAATAATAATAATTAATTAAATTAATAAATAATAGAAGAAAAGTCTTCCCACATTGCATCAAATTGGATAGCTGCAGGCGTTAAAAAGTATAAAAACAGTGGAATTATTTTAAAAACACTGTTTGTTTTTTGTGTTTTTATTTATTTTTTTTTTTTTTAACAATTGTAGGTAAATTTTGATCAATTAGTAGGGGTTTTTCCAGTTTCTTTGCCAGCCTGTGGCAATAAATGATGTGGTACATTGTTTGTGGGTATGAAAGCCTATATAGTCAGACCGAATATTCTATTTACTCAACATATTACGACTGAGTCTGTGTCGACTGTAATGGCATAATATTGTTGCTCATAGTACTAGATATTGTGTTATATAATACAAGTTTTATGTGAATGAGAATTTTAATAAAGTACTGTTACAATAACTTGCATGGGTATCTATTTTTTATATAGTTTCTTAAATTTTGTATAAAAAAAAAGAAAAAAGAAAAAAACTATATTCATTCCTCATTACTTTTATATCTTAATTTTAAAAAAAAATTGAGCATCTGGTAAGTTCGTAAGTATTAGAGTGAAAAAATGTAGGATTATGCTAAGAGAGATTATAGATTATACATTCAATAAAATTACTTTATACATTCAATAAATTAATGTTTAAAAATTCTATAGGATTTGTAAGGATTTAGACATCGTTGTTGAAATTTATTTATATAAAAATAAACAAATGAAGAAATAGCTGTGTCACTTTAATGATTTCATCTCATAATATCTACGCATTTTTTACCTGTTGACAAATAACACTTAAAATCCGCTCAAATTAATATATTCCTACTTTAAATGTAATTAATGCCACACATTTTTTAAAAATAAATTTAAAATTGACATCAACGGATAGAACTTAACCTCTCCAAAACTAAAATAGCCATTTGTCAAATTTGACACTTCTGACAAATAGTTTTATAAGCAATAAAAAGTTGAGGTTGTAAATCAATAGAAATATCTGGGACTTCTGCAAGCTCGTTTTCTCCTTTACTTTTATTTACAGTTTAAGATATTTCATGCTAACTGTGGACTTAACAGGGCCTGGGCTAAGGTTAAGTTTGAGGTTAAAAGGAATCGGTCTTTTTACATTCTTCCGCGCTGCAATCAAACATATTGATTGAAAATTTACATTTTCAAACTTAGATGTGGATTATTTCAAATTTGGTTAAGCTTAGCCCATTAAATTTAAAAGGAAAAACAAAACTTATTATTTAATGTAGAAAATATATCCCTTATGGTGATTTACTACAGATTTTTTAATTTTAGATTATTTCAATTTATTAATTTAGATGCTTGCGTAAACAATTAGAGAGTTTGCTATTAATAATAATGTGTGGTGATTAGTGACCGCATCTCACGATTTCTAAATAAATATTAATAATAATGGCATTCAATGCTCCTCCTGAACAAAATATTGGATTTACTTTGACTATTAGAATAAAACATTAAATTTATTGTCACATTTTGGAAGCTGTTCATATTTTTATAATTCTGTAGACATAATAAAAAAACAAATCAAAACCAAGTTTTTTCTCGAAACTCTTTGCCTGGGAGACAAAGACAATTGAGTAACAGTTTTAGATAACAAGTTTAGATAAAGCAGGAATGTGATTCTTGACCAATTGTGACAGAAAGGTAAGATACTTTGTTTTCTTAACCTCTCCAAAACTAAAATAGCCATTTGTCAAATTTGACACTTCTGACAAATAGTTTTATAAGCAATAAAAAGTAAATCAATAGAAGTATCTGGGACTTCTGCAAGCTCGTTTTCTCCTTTACTTTTATTTACAGTTTAAGATATTTCATGCTAACTGTGGACTTAACAGGGCCTGGGCTGCTAAGGTTAAGTTTGAGGTTAACAGGAATCGGTCTTTTTACTTTCTTCCGCGCTGCAATCAATATTGGTCAATCGTGATTTTATCTACAGATCTTTGTTAAGATCAAGGCTTTTTATCAGATTGTAAAGCATTAAGGACTCCCAAGTGTATTATTCAGGTCTAGGCTTTTCCACTTGTGAGCGGGAGCCTTCATAAGCCTAGAATCAAAATGCACTGTATTAGCAATTTGGTATGGTGAAAACATGGTATCATCATCAGCTGCCCCATTACCTGAACAAAACTTTGTTTTCCCAATGTCTGACAGGCTTAATGCAATCCTAAATGGCTCTAGACTTTACTATCGACGAGGTTGACATCTGGTGGTCTGAGTGAATCTTTTGTTAGTAATGCCCAGCCTTTTGGTCTTCTTGACACAGTGCCCAATTGAATGACAGTGGCATATCGTCCAAAACTTAAAAGTGAGTCACAGCTTCTCCTGCCGTTTATCCTCGTTACCCTATTCAGCAAACATACCATCACTTGACCTTTTCAACTACTTTTTGGTTACTCTTTTAGTAGTTATGACCCTCTAGTCTTTTGTTTTTTTCCATAAGTACCAGCTGCTAACCCAAATTCGGTCTTGGGGACTGTATACTAGACAGTCTGCATTAACTGTCTTCTTTTACCTAGCCAGTTCTATTGGGTATTTCTATTTGAGATTAATGTTAGAACTACTAAACCTAGGATGTGTTAGGACCTAATTGGAATGATGCTCACTGATACATGATCCAGAGGCTTAATGATATGGGATGAAGAAGAAACAACAAATCATACTTTCTGTTGGTGCGGCTTTTGTACGAGAAGAAAAGCCCCTATACATTGGAGAGGAAAAGTTAAGGTGTTAAAGAAAAAACATCAACAAGGTCCCAGGATAGGAAAATTTATTTTATAATAATAAAAATTTACACTTTTAATAAATTGCATTGTACAATAAATAACAGCATGCATTTGTACTAATGGGTTTTTATGTTTTCCTTCTCTTTTTTCCTGTAAAATAAGAATGGAATGTTAAATAAGTATGGTTGATATTAAATGAGCGATTGTTTTATAAACCTTTTTTTGTTTGTGACATTTTTCGTTTTAATCCTTTTTTCCTCTTAGAAATGGAACTTTCGTCTCCCATTAAAATACTGGTGTCTTCGAATCTGGTTATTTCATCACCGATTGTGCTTAGAACACTAATATTTTTAGCTCGTCTTTTCTCTTGTTTGGTTACAGGTAGCCTTGTCATATATTCTTCCTCAAATCTAAAGATAAACGAATGCTTAAAAATCTATTTTTTTAAATATAAACTGTTGAAAAAAATGTATGCATACTCTTGTTTGCGTTTTTGGTATTTATCTTCCTTCTGCTTTAACGAATTTGTCATCCGTACTTCAACAGGAGTTTCTAAATACTCTTCTTTCAATTCCTGCATTACAGAACTTTGAAGGGCATGTTTACGAGCCCGGTTGATTATCTTCTCTCGCTTCGATGTGCGACTTTCATCCCCATCTGAATAATTTTTTTACAACATAAATAAACAATGCAAAATATAAAACAGTCGTATAATCAAGTGATACCGTAATAGACAGCAGATAGCTTAGGTGGTACGTAAACTCCGCTTTTCTTCTTTTTAGTCTCTTCCGTATCATCTTCCGATTCAGACTCTTCTTCAAGCTGTAGCAAAATCAAATTATTTTGAGAGAAATATACATAAAAATATACTTTCTATTGCAATTATGAGTATTAATTACCTCAGTTTTCATATTTGCAGGATTCGCTTTAAACTGGCTTGGGTCATTTTCATTCAGGGTACCGGTTATTGCAATTTTGACCAGCTTATCAATCTGATATTTAAGTTTCTGTTCGATCGGACGAATCTTTTCCAATATGACCCTTAGTTCAACGAGCATTTCTGAAATAATAATTCGATTTATAATTATAATCAATTCAACAGTAAGGGCCTAAAAACACCACACCTATAGCTGGACTGTTGACTATGGACTTTCCAGTAGCTTTCATAATAATAACTTGCAACATGTTCATCAAATAAAACATTAGAAGTTGGTTTTTCACATCTAAAAGGCTGATACCCTACAACAGAAAATATTAGCAAGTGGGGAAAATATATATAGTTTTTTCCCCATACAAATGAACCCTATTTTAACTTTAAATTAACCATTTTCATTTTAAATTAACTTTTATTTTACTTCGAATTAAGCATTTTATTTCAAATTGACTTTTTTAACTACAAATTAACCATTTTTTATTTCAAATTACCTTTTTTTACTTCAAGTTAACCTTTTTTTATTTTCAAATTAAACTTTTTTTCTCCAAACTAACGTTTTTACTTCAAATTAAACCTTTTTAACTTCAAATTAACCCTTTTTTATTTCAAATTAACCTTTTTTTACTNACCATTTTTATTTCAAATTAACTTTTTTAACTTCAAATTAACCATTTTTATTCCAAATTAACAATTTTTTAAACTTCAAATTAACTAATTTTATTTCAAACTAATCTTTTCTAACTTCAAATTAACCCTTTTGGACTTAAAATTAACCATTTTTATTTCAAATTAACTTTTTTAACTTCAAATTAACCATTTTTACTCCTGTTGGCCGACGTTCTCACTGTAACTCCGGAGTTGCGGGGAGGATGTTTGTCATTTTTTGGCTCCATGTTCAAAATTGGGGAAAATTAGCCTTGGAAAATGGGGTTTTGACTGGTGTCAAGCTTAATGAACAAAAAAAGTATTTTGCTCGCAAGAAACACTTGATGAATTTTTTACTACTCATAATTATCTTGAAATCAACCTGAAAAATAGATTCATGACTTGGTGAGATAAATGTAATTTTATCATCAATCAAGTTACCGCAGACGTTTTATCAGGAAAACTTGGGAAATCCTTAAATTTTTTATGGCTACATAGGTGATAAGGATTTAATAACTAGTGTTTATTCAATACATCGCTAGCTCTAAATGAGGTAAAATCCTGCTCACCGATCAATGCCTGAGCTGCAATATGCATTCTTTTAACATCTAAGGGTGTATGATAGTGTGTAACACCTTCCAATATTATAGCCGGTCGGTATTGATGAATGAAAATAATATAACGCTAGCGACACTATATATATATTTGAAAAAGAAAGTTTTCTTTTGTCCATTAATTATATTATATTTTGTTTTAAATTTTCAGTTAACACGTTAAGTTAAAAGTCTTTCTTTTTTATGTTTTCCCTCACTTTTGTAGAGTTTCAAGTTCTTTTTTGGATACCTGTATCTTTTCCCCCAATTTAATATTTAGTTTGTAACTTGTACAGAAAATTTCTTACTGCATTCTTCGGCATGGATGTCATAACAATTTTTATTAACTAAGAAAAATATAACATTTTTATTTAAAAAGCTAATAGAAACTAATAGTTATGCCAAAACCATATGCGACTCACAGATGTACCTGTGGCACTGAGGGTTAATTTTACTAGTCTAAAGGCGATCAATTACCTGGGCCATGTCCATCTCAAAAGATTTAAGAAAATAAGGAGGCAGCAAAAGGCGTCGACACGTCCTCACAACAGGCCTACAGCCACGGCAACTGCTTAACTTTAACCGATAGTCTCTATCAGGGACGACCTCTCTAATGAGCTGTCATGAGAATTCTTCTCGCCACATAATGTAAACAATTGGCCCGCTATTTTTAAAGAAATACTTGCTAATTTAAAATTAAAATTTGTTTCTCCACTCTAGGAAAGAGTCTCATGTACTTTACGTTTCTTATTTCTGCTATACAGTTAGGTAGCAGCTCAGGTATGTTTAGCTTAATTATGGATAATTCGCAAGGCTTGTCTTTGGGTGAACTTCGCTGGTTTTTCAAGCTCAGAGGTGATCTTTTGTATCTGAATGGTGCCCCCTTTCCGACTCGGGGTAGGACCTGAACCCTTATGTGGCATAGGAATCCACACTATTAACGAATATCTCAGACAGAAGGACAAAAAGAAAATGAGTTAACTTTGGAATTCACTTATTGGACATAGACAATCCAAGAATCTTCTAACCAATTTTGGCAAGAAAGAAATCACAGAATGTGTAAAAGGAAGCAGGAATAGACTGCGAATCCTAACAGGATTCCTGACAGGACACTGTAGATTAAATGGACATCTAAAGAAAATTGGAATAATCCAAGATGGCACATGTAGATTCTGCAAGGAAGCAGAAGAGACACCAACACACTTTCTAACAAACTGCGGAGCTACATTAGCCCGCAGGAGGAAGTGTTTTGGGATGTACAATGTGACCATAGAAGAACTACAACCACTGAAACCGGGCCTATTAATCAAGTTTCTTGATGAAATAGGACTCACCGATGTGCTTTAGGCAGAGCACAGGGGATACAATAGCTCTTAAAGGGCGCAGTATACCATACCCTGAAATATTACATATACATCTTCCGACTCGGGGAAATGAATGGTGTCCTCTATGTAATTCAGGTGTTAGGGAGGATCATTCTTCGGCTGAATGCATCATTTTATCAGAGATCCACTGTTTACACTTGAATTATTCTGTAATTGCAAAAGACCAACTTATTGTTCTATTTAAGTGTAAGTTTAGGAATTAATTAAATATGCTTGACATGCCTGGCACTATCGGCACGAATTAGTGGTGGAATTTAATTTCTAATGAATCTTTGTTTTTCTTTAATCTTCATTGTTTTTTTCCTTATTAAGTAGTTCTTACTTTTTCCCTTTGTACAAAAAAGCCACTATCACTTCTATATATTATCCAGTGACCTCCGGCAGATGGATTTTCTTTTGCCATGCTGTATAATACTTTGTTTTACTTATTAAATTGTGTTTAATTGTTATGTACTATACAAGTAATAAAGTATATTATTATTATTAGTCTCTGTCAGGAAGCATGCACTTTGTCCTCACACCCAGGGTTTCATGAGAACCAGATTGGTCAGGGATGGTAGCAGCACAGCAAAGCCCTCGCTCTGACCTATCAACGGTCTCTGAAAATCTGATCGATTACAGACAACTTTAAAAGAAACTTATTAAACGACTCAACTGACCACAAACTCAATACAAAAGAAATGTTTATGAAGTAGTACATCAGTTAAGCTATACCACTGAAGATGGTGAAATGCCTAGTAGCAGAGGGGAGTGTATTTTTTTACTTACATTATTACAGTTTAGCTCGCCGTTCTTCAGCTTTTTCAGAATTTCTTGCAAAAGGTCAGTCACAGTCTTCGCGTTATCCGAGATCTCTTTGAAAAACAGCATAGCTTTTTCTTTCTCGTCGTCCTACAATGAGAGTTTTCCTAATCGTTCTTTAAACAAAAAGAAACACAATACGATTACCTTTTCCTGGACGTCGTTTTCAGCAGTAATCATTTTTCTTTCTTTTTTTTAACTTAAAACGGCACCAATTCCACAAGAACAACCTTTAGACACGACACGTGGTTGAGAAAAGGACAACAACAACGAAGTTGAATTGTTAAAAGGTTCTGCAAAGTTTAACTTAGCGTTGCCAACCTTAAACTTGCGATATTTCCCACTTCCCCGACTTTTGGGAAAAGACAAAAACAATTCTACTCGCAAAACCAGGGAAAGATAAATCAAAAAGTGTCAAGATTTTGTCAACGTTGAATCGAAATTTAGAAGCTAACAGACAAAAAATGAAAAGTTTGGATTCTTCATGAACCACCACTGCTCAACTGAGAGTATCAGAGATTAACTAAATAATTTTAAATAAGGGATAGAGATAAGGATAAAAGAGGCGGCCACAAGGCACCTCAACTTGAGTATATCTATGTACTCCTCTATTTTTAAAACTCACTGACCAGCATCAGATTGTTAAACAACCTCCATATCCTTGCCAGCAGCTCCTAGGTGTAGTCTTCCTTGCGGCTTTTACTCTCTTAGTTGCAAGAATCTGCACCTATATAGACCCTCACAAAAATATAAAACATATTCCGCTCTGTCCTCTTCTTCCTGGCAGTATCTGCACAGTGTTTCTTCTCTGTACTCATATCCAGTTGTATGTGCCTTCTTAGGCGGCAGTGCCCTGTCAATAGTCTAACCAGAATCCTAGTTCTGTGTTGGTTGCCCTCCAGTAATTCCTTTGTAAGTCTTGTTCGCGTGTCTCATGCCTGGGGTATTGTTCCACCTAGTTTTGGAATCATTAAGGATCCATTTTTGGATGTGTCCTTTTTTTTGTTTTAGGTCACAGTAGGGTTCAGGACATAGAAAATTCATATTGACTCCTTTTTTTTGGCCAACATGTCCACTTTCTCATTAGCTCTATATGCTGAATGCCCAGAACCCATACCACAGTCAAGCAGTGTTGGGCAAAAATTAGTCATGTCTAATGATTAATGATTGATCACTCAGACTGTTAGTCATGATTGGTAGTAAGTGACTAATTAAATACGAGGCATGACTAATTTAGTCACAATATAGTTAGTCGGCCCATAAACCTTCCACTTTATATATATAGTTAGTCATCACTAAATTTCGATAAATCATGTTCAAATGGGTGCTCAAAAAATGAAAAATACACTTCATCACTTTTAAAAAATTTTCTAACAGAAATTTATTTAATCAAAACGAAAATCCTTCCGTTAACCTTATTTAACAAAAATCAATCTTCCAATTATAAGTAAAACTCCGTCGATATGAAAAGCCAAAAAATAATGATAATGATAATAATAATAATAAAATAAAATAAAAAAAATCCTATAACAAGCTACACTTTGAAAAGTAAATATGTTTACATAACCGATCAATGGAAAAAATATTTCTTTGAATTAAAATTTATTCCACTTAAAAGGAGAGATTTCTTCATTATTTGGAAAATACACCATCTAGGGGGTCTTGATTGTAATAAAATAGACATGTAGAATAATTATGTAACTTTGGTTTTCGTTTTTGATAACAATTTTGGAAGGTTGGCCTTGAGCACGACTGTCATCTCAAAATTTTTATCCGGAGTCGGTTGGATTTTGGTAAGTTGGTCATTGTAGCCAGAGTTGGGCAAAATCAAACTAATTCAATCATGATTAAGAATTTTGATTGAAGTTTAATCATGATTGAATTAGTCATGAGTAAATTAATCATTATATGATTTAGTCATACCTCATGATTGAATTAATTATGATTAAATCATATAATGATTAATTTACTCATGACTAATTCAATCATGATTAAACTTCAATCAAAATTCTTTATCATGATTGAATTAGTTAGATTTTGCCCAACTCTGCGGTCAAGTCATTGGTGTCACTGACTTGTGCCAGGGTTTCTATACAATTCCTTACACTTTTTGCGTTTACCTCAATTCAATCAAATATAAAACACTAATCTTCAAATTGAATGTTCCTATTTACCTAACAAAGTCGATCCACTCATTCTTAACACATAATTTTTCACTGAGTACAATGGTCGCAATGGAGCCAATTTGGCTTTCAAAAATCAAAAAGCACAGAGGGTGCACTTGTTAATTTTTTGACCATGGTCTATAATGATTTGAACAATGGTACAAAGGTTGCTGGACTATTTCTAGATATTACAAAAGCTAGTTCATGAAATTTAATTCAAAAGTTGGATGATACAGGAATTACAGGTGCATTGAGGTGATTCCAGTCCTATCTTTCTGAATGCAATCAATGTGTTTGTATTGGAAGTAGCCTGAGAACGAGTACAAAAATAGACAATGGGGTTGGTCAATACAAGGCTCCATGTTAGCTCTCCTTCTCTTTTCTTATGAATCTTAAACTGTTCACCATTGTGCAAGAATGAAATTTATGTATGAAAAACTCAAGTTATTACATCTATACTGTGAAATAAGGATAAGGATATAAGGTGGTCAGTCACTCTTGCACCATGAGCTAAATAGATCTATTGCATCTCTAATTCTGAGTTCCCTGGCCAGCTTTACACTATTGACCCAGTTGCATACGCCAGTGGTTCTATTTTTATTAGTCTGCAATTTTTTCTCACCTAGCTGCAGAAACTTATGCTTTGATAGATCCTCAACGAAAAGTCTTTATTGAGTAATATAGGCAAACATAACTGCTACCACCACTGTACAATAATAAAATTTATGCATGAAGAACTCAAGTTATCACATCTGTCCTGTGAAATAAAGAAAGGGGTGGGGGCGTCGGTGGCCTCAATGGTTTAGGCGTTGACACGGCGCTCATCACTGTAAGGTAAAGGTCCCGGGTTCGAATCCAGCGGCCCTGCATTCAAACCCCACATACTTACAAATGGGCTTTTTTTTTCAAAAACACCAACACCCCGAGGGTTATATAACCTCTGCTGTTACAAACCCTCGTAAAAAAAAAAAAAATTTAGACTATAGCTCAAGTTCCACAACCTGGCTAGTGTTTTCTTTTGAGTACAATACTATTTTATATTTTTCTTCAACTAGCTGTAGAAATGTATGCCTTGCTAGCTCCTCAACAAAAAGTCTTTATTGAGCAGTATAAACAAATACAACTGCTACCACCATTGTACAAATAAAATTTATGAAAAAAGAGCTCAAGTTATCACATATGTGCTGTAAAATAAGGATAGCTATATAGGGAGGTCACACTTTTGCACCTTGAACTAAATATATCTGTTGTTCTCCTCTACTTCTGTTAAGAGTTCACTAGCCAGCTTTAGGAATGTGTTGTGTGGTCTCTTTTCTTAAATCTGCACAACGGTTCTTTAGATCAGTCTCAATGCTCGGTGCACTGTTTCTTGGAACCTTTGTATTTACCATACTGGCAGCTCTGGGTGGTTCAATCCTAGCATAGCCCATTATGCTTTAATTACGAATTATGTTTCTTCTGACAGTACTCCTATTCACTCACCCCTTGGTTGTTGACCCTAAAGGATTCAACAAGGATCCATTGTTTAATGGTTCCTTTTTTGGAAAAATGCCACTAGGTTTTGCGCTGAAAGTATTCATACTAACCCCTTCTACTTCTATTTTAGCTCACCAGTCAGCTTTAGGCTATTGATCACATTCAGCTTAGCAAGTGGTTCTTCTCTGTAGAAGACTGCTTGCTGGTTTTCTTAGTCACATAATGTGTTCCATGGTCTCTTCCTCTTTTTCAAAGAAACTGCCCACTGTCCTGCCAGTACTTTTATCAGGTACGTATACCCTCGTACATGACTGTCCGGTCAGAGGCTTTACCAGAATCATGGTTTTATATCAGTTCACAGTCACTTTTGTTTTGAAAATTGATAAGCCTGTATGTACAGAGCAAAAAATATCCATATATTTCCACTCTTGGAGCCTGCTACTGACACGTCCATACTTGTGCCCAGGAGCCAATGTGACTGTCAGTTATTTTTACAATGACTTCCACCAAGGATTCCATGCAACTCCAGACAATTTTACTTTACTTTTTATAATGTGAAAAGTCGGACTGATGAGAGTATTTCTATCTTCTTAGAGTGGATTCGAAGCCTTTTTTTATTATCTGTAGAAGGAAATGTCTAATTTAAAAACCTGCATTGGTCCAGGATTTGCAGTCAGTTCAGTCTTTGGATTTATTCCTAGGACTTTGTTTCCTGTGTCATCCATGGTTTCTGACGGTTGTTGATGATTAAAAAAAAAATAAAACTAACTGACAATATAGTTCAAGAGATGTATTAAATATTTAATAAATTAACAATAAATTAGAAATACATTTAAATTTATTTATTTAAGCCCAAAATAATATTACAATTCATAACCACATTATACAAAATGGAATACAATAAGACAGCCATATATAATTCTTTTTTAAATTTAATTTAATTTGTTTGCAATTGTATAATTTGAAACATTATGAAAAATCGACGTCATTTATCATTTCCACCTTTTTTCCAGTCTTTTCTAAGATGCTTTTGGCTTCTTCTTCAGAAACCGATCCTCTAATGATCACCGTTTTCGAATCTAGATCAACATCGTAGGCCACTATTCCCTTGTCTGAAAGATAAACAAAGAGATTTTTTAAACTTTTATCTTTGAGCAAGTGTAAATTTTATGCTGAAAGTATAAACATCCGGGACCAAACTGTTTACAAATAGGGAAAAAATATTTCACAGAAATAAACAAGTGATATCATTTTAGTATTTTGTTTTGAAAGGTTTGCAAGTTGTAGAAAATTTTTCGGAATTTTTTATTTATTTTTTTTATCATATTTCTCTGGTTATTCATGCTGAATTTTCTCAAAACAAATTAAAATCAGTCTCCAGAAAAATAACGAGAGATCTCAGCTTAGAAGTACAAACTGAACAAGGCCCCTCTTGCTTTTATAAGTGCTTCCTTTCCTTTATGGCAAACACAAAAAAAAAAAAAATTGTACAAAATCCTGAGATATGTTGTCTCCCTCGTCCAATACTGCCTTTAGCATTTCAAGGTTGTAAAGGGTTAATACGATGACTAAACCTTTCTTTTCAGACTGTCCCAAATGTGTTCGATTAGGTTGACTTGTTGCCGGCCACTCAAGGGTCACCTGTTCTGTTCAGGTACTCAGAAACATACGTGGCCTTATGTATAAGCAATAATTACGAGCCTAGAAAAAGCATAAAAGATACTACATAATCTTGTAAAATCAATTAAGCGTATCTTAGGGCATTCAAGGCGCCAGAGCATGACAGTGCCCCCTCCAAATTCACTGTTTCCAACAAGCAAAGGATTTTTCAATGTTTACTTTTTACGGAATTTAAAATATTTATTCAGCCTCATTTGAATTCTGAAGCTATAAACTGTTTAGCTTTCATTTTTGTTTTCTTCATTTCAATTTTTAAATGTAAAATGCCATTTAGTGCTGAGGATGTTGCACAAGGTGTGGCAATTATTGATGATGGACGTTCCATCAGGTATGCTATTGCCATCGGGGGTTCCTATTAAAGTCTGCGAGACGCCGTTAGACGTTTTCGAAAAACTGGTTCCTACCATAGAAGGCACAGTTCTGGACGCCCAAGGATGACAGTACCACAGGGTGACCGTTTTTTGACTTTTAGAATTTTGCGAAACCGGCTCCTTACTGTTGTTCAAGCGATTCATCAGCTCCAGGAAGTTCAAGCTGTCCAAATTTCTGAACGCACTGATCGAAGAAGATCAAATCAGTATGGACTGATGGCTTTTCAGTAAGAGGACCAGAATTGACCAGAACACATGGAATTGCATGGTTCGCATTTGCTCGAGAACACAACCATTGGTCTTTGGATGATTGGTCTCCTGTACTTTTTACAGATGAGTGTAGATTAGCTCTACGCAGATGGGTGTGAAAGAGTGTGAAGAAGGTGAAATGAAAGGCTCGAAGCCTGTAATTTTCCCCAGAGTCAACCTTTTCATGAGGGTCTTAGCCTGGCCAACCCGTTCTCCAGACTTGAACCCATCGAACATTTACGGGATAACCTCAAAAAACAAATAAGAGCACATCCATCACATCCTGATACACTCCATGATCTTGAAAGGACTCTGTGAAGAATGGGCTAACCTTCAGCAAAGAGACATTTCCAGACTAGTAGAAAGTATGCCGAGGCGACTTCGAGATGTAATTAAGGCAAGAGGATTTAAGTAACATGCTACTGAAATGTTAATTAAAAATCTAAAACAAATTTTATACGACTGACTTTTTTAAATTTTCCTTAGCAGTTTACTTTTTTAGACAAAGACTCAATTATTAAACATTAAAAAACGTGACTTTGATTAGTTTGTTAAAATATATACAAATCAAGTTATATTACGAGTGGGTGGAATTTTTTGTCTGCTTGTGTGTATATTTCCAATGGAAGCCGGTTTAGCAGTTTCTAGTGCAATTGACTTGTTTTCATTACTACTATAAACTTGTGCAACATAATCCTTTAAATTGAAAGAGAAAGTACTTTATTCCAGGACTACAGTCCCCTAAGAATAATAATAATAATAATAATAATAATCTTATTTTATATATTACCAACTCAACGGATTGTATCTTCTCTATTGATAGGTTGAAAAATTCCAAGTTCTCCGTGGTTGAAAACCTTTATTCAATTTAGTAAATTACATGGCGTTTAGGGCTCCTGGCCATCAGAAACTAAACATAGAGAAATCTCATGGTGTAATTCCCATTCTGAAGGCAAGATTGGGAATTATACCATGAGATTTCTCCATGTTTAGTTTCTGATGATGGGCCACGAGCCCGAAACATTCATGTAATTTACTAAATTGAATAAACAGCCTATCAATACAGAATAATAATAATGTAACAAAAATGTTTACAAATCTGGCACTTGAATTAATGAAGTTTTGACATCAACAAAAAGTGAAATACGTTAATATATAATAATAAATAGCATGAATGTGTATTTTTTTTAAATTGACTTAAGACTTTTAATCACAAGTGAAAAGGTCAAAGATTGGAAATCAAAGATAGGGTTAATAAAATTTAAAAAAATCAAATGCGAGAATGACAAAATGTGAAGAGCCCACAATGTCCCTAGCTGCTGGCAGGCAAAAATAATAATAATAATTAACTTTATTACCTATGTTCTTTTGAAGAACTTTTTTGACAGCTGTTTCACAACTGGAACAAGTCATATCAACCTTGAATACCTAAAAAGGAACATAATTTTAAATCATACATGATTAGAAAAAAACACTGAAAGTGTACTTAATTAATAAAAAATTTAACGATGAACTAGATTATCGACCTGCTGGATACAAGAAGTCTTTTCAGAGGATCTTCGGAAGAGGTAGGATCTTCCGAAGATCCTCTGAAAAGACTTCTAATAAAAAATTGTATAAAAAAATCTGTTTCATTTTATCTTACGATATGAAAAAGGAGATGGGAAAAGTGAGATATACACACTCAAACATGAAAAAGAAAAGGATTTAAGATAAATAAAGAAAACTAAAAGAAATACTTACGAAAGTGTGCATGACGACCGGCTCTGGTAAAATTGTGGCGAGATTAACAAGAGACGAAAGACGAGCTATACCGACTGACAAGTGACAACTGAATGAACTGAAACTGATAGAATGCGCCGCCGATAAACAAATTTCAGACAAGGAGTGGGGACTGAAAATGTGCTGTCAGGCTATCTCGAATAAACGTCACAGCATGACTAATCCCATGGTTAAATTCATTTTACAAACTTATCTATTTATCTATTTATTTATACGTACGGATCAAAGATCCTTTTGTAAAGAATATAAATCACGAGATTGTAAACAATTTAAGTAGGAGATAAACAAAATTGATAAAATAAAAAGAACCACGGCAACAACAACCATTAGCATTTTTACTAATAATAATGATAATAAACTATAGGACTTGGGCTGATGGCGGAAATTTTATAAAAATACCCCATCGACCCCAATTTAGATTAGATTATTACAGGGAACAGGTAAGATGGAGGAATATCGAGTACACCATCTACCAAACATAATGAGTGCGATCAATGTATGTTGGTGTGAATGTATTTATTGGTGTGAATGGGGAGGGGCTGATGGCGAAGTAGCATCTCCATCACCCCTCATCTTACGAGTGTGACTTGGGTCTACGGCAGAAAACTTTTAAAGTACCCCATCGACCCCAAATTAGATTAGCTTATTACAAGGAACAGGTATATGGAGGAATATTGAGTACACCATCTACCAAACAGAATGAGTGCGATCAATGTATGTTGGTGTGAATGGAGAGGGGCTGATGGTGAAGTAGCATCTCCATCGCCCCTCATGTTGCGTGCGTGACTTGGGTCTACGGCGGAAAACTTTTAAAGTACCCCATCGACCCCAAATTAGACTAGCTTGTTACAGGGAACAGATAGATGGAGGAATATCGAGTACTCCATCTACCAAACAGAATGAGTGCGATCAATGTATGTTGGTGTGAATGTATTTATTCGTTATTGGTGTCATTGTGTATAGCAGTATTTTGTTAGTGCTTCGGTGCTAAAATGACAAAGCTGTCGGATGCCCCTGTCAAAAAAAAGAAGAAAAAATATACTTTAGGGCCAGGTCAGCCCTATGAACTAAAAAGCTCTCACGTTTCAAAAGCAATGTTGATAGGTGGCCCTCCAAGGATCTGACTTGCAGGAGAGGAATCATCCCCTCTCGACTAAGAATAAGCCATGCGAGGTTGACACATGGACTTTTTGGGTCAACGCCAAAAAGGTTGCTCGATGTGTCCCACCTAATGGAAGGGTGCAACTCCTTGGCTCTATATAGACTGCTATCCACATGCCACATATGAATGCCATCCAATAATAGAGCATCAAATATCCGGATCCCCTGTTCCAATTTTTGGAGGAAAAAAGGGTTTTTATTTATTTAACAGACAGCCACACCATTTTTTAAATTTTTTTAATATTTTTCATAAGTTTCTGGAAAAGAAAGTTCTACTCGTAAACAATATCTGGATTTCAGGTGTTAAATACTCATCGTCAGACTGAAGTATTTAAACACATTTCTCAACATGAATTGTAGGATTATGTTTTATGAGTTTCATAGTTTTGTTTTGTGATAATACATTGTAGGTACAAAACTGTTGTGGAACTAACTTTATTTTTCGGAAGCTAAATAAAATTGGAAAGAAGTGAGTTTTGCTCCAATCAAACATTACGTGAGGCTGCATAAAAGCTGAACAAAACTCATAATAATTGCAGGTCTGTCAGCTCAGAAAACAGCCTGACTAGTTTCTTCCAAGAAAAAGAAGCCACAGTATATATTATCTGTAACTGTGAAGGCCTAAAAAGGAAAATGTTTCTACTTATGATTCAAGATAAGCTACAGCAAATAGAACGGTTGAACTGCTATCAATGCTAATAACTTATCTGAAGGTAGATAGTGAGTTATAGCTTACAATTATAACGTACATGAGAAGGAGCACAATCCTTTTTTGATGGACACATTTCTTTTAGGCCACTTAAAACAAATTTCATCTATATTTTTTTTAAAATTACGTATATTTTATTAACATAAACTTATGCAGAAGCAGGAACAAATTTAATTTTCCACGTTGAACAAGCTATAATACACATAAGAACACTCATAACAATTTAAAAATCTTGGGCTTAATATAATTGAACTTCTATCTGTTATCGTTGAAATTGCTTTACTCAGTATAATCGAAAAATATCTTTCAATTTGTCACCATCTTGATATGAGATTAGACTGAATGATATAATTGTACATAAAAGATCAAGGTAAGGTGAATCTGAAACAAAGAAACACTAACAACAGTTCCTTTGCCGAGCTTTCAAAGAACCCATTCATCAGAACTTTAAAACTATTTTATAATGAATCAAACAGTTAAAAAATATAAACAACTATATAGACTATTTGAAATTATGATTTCAACCATAAAACAATTCTCTGTGCTTTATAGGGTTGATTAATCACCCGCCTATTCTACATTACGATTGCAATAATTTCTATAATAAGCCACAATTTCAAATAATAAATATTTATATTTGTTAATTGTGTAAATCATTAGAAAAGTTTTAATGTTCTGATGAAGAGGATATATTCCTCAAAAGCTTGAACTGAGTGTTTTTCATTTTTTTTTTTTTTTTAATTTGCCTTCTTGATCTTTTCAATATAATTTAACTGTCATTTTTATTTCTTTAAAAAAATGGAAACAATCAATTTTGGAACATTCATGATATGCACATACACAATATTTTATTCTTAATAGCGGTTACATAAGCGATGTATGATTTTTTTAAACCTTTTCTGATGTGGTACTGGTCAGTAATACTGTAATATTGACTTATTGACATTGCTACAGATTAATTCTAAAGCTTCAGCTTTCCTCACAAAGCACTAGAATGTCTTAGGATTTTTTTGTTCAAATTTCTAAAAGATTATTTCAAAGAAATAAATAGATACTCGTTCTGACAGATCAACCCAGCAAGGATAGGCAGACCGAAAGACTGCTAGTTCTCATTGGAATTACAAAAATGAACAACAAACATCAAAAGAAAATAAGTAAGCTGGAAACCTGGAAGCATTTCAAGTCAATGCAAGGACTTAAATGGACTACAGAGAAAGTTAAAGATTCAGCCCAAATAATTTTCAGTCCTGTTTATGACCGTGTGTCCTGATTTAGAATTAATCCTTAACTTTAAATTTTCTTCTTATTTTTGCTTCAAATTTCATATAAACAACTAATTTCTTATCTAAATGGCTGATTAATTAGTTTGATGTATACATGTAGGTTACAACATCTCAAAAATAAATACAATTTTACAATATTTCTCAAATAAAATACAATTATATGTATACACATGGCTACAAAGCATATGAAGGAACTAGACCAAGAATTTTCTGTACAAGCCCAAAATATGAGTAATTCAACTCATTAGGAAAATAGTACACTTCGGTCTTTAAACCTGAACTACATGCTTTACAAAAACCTTAAAATTGATTACACTGACAAAATAATCCTCATAAAATTATATATCTAAGCACGTAAAAAAAAAAAAAAATCACTTTAACAATCACTGAATGCATTAAAAATCTCCAAAACCTGGGGAATCGCAACAACCTGATGATATTTCGCGTAACAAGATACAAAGGAATTTTAGATTATGAAAAGACAGACATACCGGCCATGGGAAGATCTGCAAGTCCATAAGGTCCTGAACTTATTCTTTGGATGACAAAAACAAACATAGAACCCTCCATCTCAGAATGGATCCAAAAAATACAAATTCCAGAGGTGCTACACAAAAGAACCCTCAGCCTGGTTTAGAGGTTCGAAGATGGATATGTGTCGAAGCGAGAGCTGGGGCTGCAATATACTTTTGAATTGTAACTTTTTCTTTATGTTTGTATAATATGATCTCATGAGATAGAGTGAACCGGCCCTGATATGATAGGACCGAATCACGCGAGCGTAGACGGACCCCACTAAGTGACCCTATGAGGTCAATCTTTCATTGTGCAAAATCCCAAAATCTGATACAGACGAGAAATTACAGAGAGGGGAAGAATTTTGACTTTTAAGTGTCGAGAAACGTACGGAAACTCTGAAAGTTCTGAAAAGGGAAATATCAATCAAAAGACTTTCCATGTATGAATATTTAGGTCATCTACAAATAAGAGAAGTGAGACCTTAAAGTGAGAGTTCGATATCATTAATAGAAAAAATAAAAAAAATGGTCCTAAACGAGATCCTTGCAGAACTCCCTAGTCACCAAAATTTTCTCTATTTGAGATCTACCATAAGATGTTCAACTGTTTTGTAGTTTACGTTGAGCACCATACGATTCAAATTTGGCTGATAGGTTACCAAACCTCTCAGCTGGGAGAGTTTACTTGTGTCAGAAAGGGTCGAGGCCTACAAATTGATTTATGCATTCTTCCAGGACTGCGATGTTACTACTACTAATAATAAAAAAAGTTTATTTGTTTATATATTTATTTGATATGAATATTTATTCAATATTCAAGCAATTTATCTGTGATATTTCTGAATTGCGTTTATAAGTTATAAGGTTAATATTTTTACTCAAACGATTGCTGTATGTCTTAAGGCAAAGCAAAAAAAAAAAAAAAAGCTAAGGACCTCAATTGCATCTATTCATTTCCAAGGCGTTGATAGTCTCTAGTCAGCCAAATTTGAATCGTATGGTGCTCATCGTAAACTACAAAAACGGTTGAACATCTTATGGTAGATCTCAAATAGAGAAAATTTTGGTGACTAGGGAGTTCTGCAAGGATCTCGTTTAGGACCATTTTTTTTATTTTTTCTATTAATGATATCGAACTCTCACTTTAAGGTCTCACTTCTCTTATTTGTAGATGACCTAAATATTCATACATGGAAAGTCTTTTGATTGATATTTCCCTTTTCAGAACTTTCAGAGTTTCCGTACGTTTCTCGACACTTAAAAGTCAAAATTCTTCCCCTCTCTGTAATTTCTCGTCTGTATCAGATTTTGGGATTTTGCACAATGAAAGATTGACCTCATAGGGTCACTTAGTGGGGTCCGTCTACGCTCGCGTGATTCGGTCCTATCATATCAGGGCCGGTTCACTCTATCTCATGAGATCATATTATACAAACATATAGAAAAAGTTACAATTCA